TATGTGGTTAGTAAATAAATAATTAAAAATACAAAAAAAAGTAAAATACGTAGAAATGAGGTAGGATGGTGTTACAGTTGAGAAGGGAAGGGAATAGGGAGATGATATAAAATTTCAAACAGGAGGAACTTTGAATCAGATCTGTAGCCAATACAGTTAATACCGTACATTTCAGAATTTCCACAGGGTATATTCCAAATATTCTTTTTAAAGTTTTTGTTATCATATATTATACATAATAATGGACTTCATTATGTCATTTTCATGTGTACATATATATTTTGATTATATTCCTGCTGTTAAATATTTTTCTCACAAAATGATGTGAGGTGATACGTACATTAATTAGCTTGATTTAACTATTCCTTGATATTCATTAATCATATCACTTTGTATCCTATAAAGATATATAATTATAAATTGTCAGTTTACAATAAATAAAAAAAATTTAATTGCTGAAATAAAAATTACAAATAGTAATCATAATAGTCCAACTTTGATCCGCTTGCCCCAAATAACAGACATGTACCACCACTGTACATGGACATGACTGTAACAAATGTATATTACTTAAAGTCAAAATCTTCGGAGAGAGGACTGGAGAGATGGCTCAGCTGTTAAGAGCACTTGCTGTGCAATCCTGAGGTCCAGAGTTCCGATCCAGCATCCATTAACAACCTGAGTGTCCAACAGATATCTGTAGCTCTAAGGACTCTGAAACTCTCTTCTGGCATTCACCCATACATGCACATATACTCACAGATACACAGACAGCTAACTAGAAATAAATCATAAAAAAATCCTCAAAGTGCCAGGAGTGGTGGTACATGCCTTTAATCCTAGCACTTGGGTAGCAGAGGCAGGCAGATCTCTGCAAGTTCAAAAACAGCCTGGTTTCGTTTCTGGCTAGCCAGGGCTGCATAACAAGACCTTGTCTCCAAAAAACACAAAACAAAAAACAAAAAAATCTTCCAAAATAGGGAAAGATATTAGGAGAAAGTGATTTCCTAGCCAAGAAGAATGTGATAGTATCAAAATATTTAACTGTATTAAAAATCATATTTTAAAAAGATATTCTGTCTTATCAGACTAATTTCTTAAGGTCTACTTTATTATATCTCTGTGGTAAAGTTTGCTGTTTTCTTACTATTGTGGGTTTTTTTTTTTTTCTTTTTTTGTCTGATTCTTAGGAAGAAGCACGGAAACATTTTAATTGCAGAGCTCTAGAAGGAATGGAACTTGAAAATCAAGGTGGCATGGGCACTGAACTCAACCATTGGGAAAAAAGGTTATTAGAGGTCTGCATACTTTAAAGCTTTGCTGGACTTTGTTTTTAGTAAAAGTGATTCATGCTCATAATAAAAGTTATTCAAATGGATTTGATAAAGAAAGAAGTTAAGAAGTCTCTTTTCCCTTTCATCTCTCCAGATTCACTTTACAAATGTAATTGAACTTTTCATAGATCTTTATCTAAATATATGAATCTCAATAGATAGGTATATGTCTAAATACATATCCATGCAGTGGTTTTTAAATGTTTTCATATATTTATTGCAACATTTTCCATTTATATCTACATTGTAAATATTTTTCCAAGGCAGTACAGATACCTCTGCTGTAATACAACGAAAAAAACCCTCTGCAAATTTTTACACCAAAGGTAACAAGTTGGTGGGAAAAAACAAGAAGAGCATTAACAAAACCAGTGACAACACAGCTACTGACTCCGTTTTAAAAGCTAGTGTTTCTCCTAGATGGATCTTTGTGTAGGTCCTGTTTAGTTGCTGCTACTTCATAACAAAATATTAGCGTCCAGGAAAATCATTATGAGCTAACACGTTATGCTGATGTCACTCTCCTATTATGCAGTGTCACATGAATTCAGTCACATGCATTGGTAATGTAGAGTATGTACTTGGATCTCCTCTGAATTTTTCATAGTTTATATCTTTGGGGGTGGGGTAATGACTTACAAAGAAACGAACACCCGACACCCATCCTTATTTTTTTAAAAGATATTTTATTATCTTTATGAGTGTATTGCCTGCGTGTATGAGTGCACCTGTACTGTGCAGTGCTTGTGGATCAGAAGAGGGTGTTGGATCCCCTGGAATTGGAGTTAGAGATGGTTGTTAGCCACCATGTGGGTGCTGGGAATTGAACACAGCACTTGGACAGCAGAGGTAGGCAGATCTCTGAGTTCAAGGCCAGCCTGGTCTACATAGTGAGTTACAGGACAGCTGGGGCTACAGGGAGTCCCTGTCTCAAAAAGACAAAAGAAATAAAAAATAAAAAAACTGTGTCATATAAATGAAGTAGGCCTGTGTTAATAACAACACTATGCCCAGCAACAACTGTGTTTTAAATTATGCATACTGTTTGCTTGTTTTGAAACAGTGTCTCATTATGTAATCCTGACTGGCCTGAAACTTGTTATATAGCACCAGTATTGAATTTACCGCAATCCTCCTGCTTCTGCCTCCTGATGGCAGACATGTGCCACCTTGCTAGGATAAAGGGCTGTTGATTTTTTGCTTTGCAGTACTAGAAATTGAATCTAGGGCCTCATACATGCCAGGCATATGTTTACTTCTGAGCTATAGCCCCAGTCCTAAATTTTCTTTTTTTAAGATATTTTATTATTTTTATGTGTATGAGTATATTGCCAGCATATGTGTAAGTGTACCCATGTCATGCAGTGTCCACGGAGATCAGAAGAGGTGTCGGATCCCCTGGAATTGGAGTTACAGCTAGTTATTAGTCACCATGTGGGTGCTGGGAATTGAACCCTGGTCCTCTGCAAGAACAGATGGTCCTGTTAACCACTGAGTTATCTCTCCAGCCCCCTAAATTTTCATATTAAAAAAATGTTATAATGAGCCAGATTGGTAGGACAGTGGATACTCTCACTAGATCTTCTTTTGATCCTAAACAATCAAACTCACAGGACCTCAATAGGCCACACTGAAAAAGTTCCCCTAGAAGGATGTTAGCACACACAGCATGCCAGCACAGCAGAGTCAGGCCTTTTTCTTGTGCTACGCAGCAAGCTGTCAGCAGTGCCTCTCACTCCTGGACCAGCTCAAATCCAGGAAGACAAGACCACCTCAGATGGATGTAAGAACTGACTTGGCTTAAGAGTGCTGTGGCTCTAGTAGAAGCTGTTTTGAGCACACAGGCATAACCTAGATTCCATGAGCGACAAACTCAAAAGTCATTGTATATAAGAAAGATCCAAACTGTGGCTTGCCAATGGGTGTGCATGTTCATTTTTAGTAATTCCAAGCCCAGAGATGTAGTGAGGCCTATTTTCCTTAAGTCCTATTGCTTTGCTACACTGTCTTTATTAGGTTTCAGAAGAAGAGATCCAGAGAGTTAACCCAATGGCACATTTGTTTACATAGAAAGAATCTAGAAGTGAAATAAATAAAATTTCTGTTTAGAGATCTGTCTCAGTCACTCACTCACTTGACTTTGCTTAGAGAGTATAAAATTTTCACAGTAGTCTACCTCACTCCATGAATTATCTTCATTTTCATCATAAAGTACTGGATTGCTGACTGGCTACCATTCTGGGGAATCTTATGTGATGGAGATTCTTGAGACAGATTTCCACTTACTTAGTCTGGACATCTAAAGGCTTTTGTATTTGACCATTTTTAAGTGAATTTTTTACCACATGAAATATCTTAAAGATGCATTGGAGTTATAGAGTCATCCTCTAATTAAAATCTGTTGGCAATTTTCAGAATGAAGCAATGACTGGTTCTCACACCCAGAACCGAGTCCTGTCTCGAATCACTCTGGCCTTAATGGAGGACACTGGGTAAGACATCTGTGAGAGGATGATATAAATTGTTCATAAAATAATTGTTCATAAAATAAATTGTTCATAAAATAAATTGTTCATAAAATAAATTGTTCATAAAATAAGCTTAAGAAAAACCTAACGTGTTACATCATAACAAAATGTACTTACTGATCCTTTGAATTTGTGCAGTTTATACTTAATGAATAGAACAAAATCCAAGATATAAGATAGTGTAAAGCCATGCTCATATAAATGAAAAGCCAATCTAAATAATGTTTTTTTGAGACAGGGTCTCCCTGTAGCCCTAGCTGTCCTAGAACTATATATAGACCAGGCTGGACTTCAAACTCACAGAGATCTGCCTTCCTCTGTCTCCAAGGTGCTAAGATTAAAGGAATGTGCCACCATGCCTGTCTAATCTAGATAATTTTTAAAATGTAATTTTAAAATATTTTTTATTATTATTTTTTGTCTTTTTGAGGCAGGATCTCCCTGCATCCCCAGCTCTCCTGGAACTCACTATGTAGACCAGGCTGGCCTTGAACTTACAGAGATCCACCTGCCTCTGCCTCCTGAGTGCTGGGATTAAAGGCGTGTGCCACCACGCCCAGTAATTTTTATTTTTTATGTGTATGAGTGTATTGCCTTCGTGTATGTAAGTGCATCCATGTTGTGCAATGCCCTCAGAGGTCAGAAGAGGCGTGAGGTTCCCTGGAACTGGAGTTATAGATGGTTGTTAGCCACCATGTTGGTGCTGGGATTTGAACCCAGGTCCTCTCTGAGAATGGTTAGTGCTCTTGACTGCAGAGCCATCTCTCCCGCCCTAATCTAGTTTTTTTTTTTTTTTTTTTTTTTTTTTTTTTTTTTAAAAAAAAAAAAAAAAAAAGAGGACGATAAATATGTAGACCAGACCAGGCTGGCCTCAATCTCAGAGAAATTGGCCTGCCTCTGCCTCCCAAGTGCTGGGATTAAAGGCATGCACCACCACACCCAGAAATTTAGATAATTCTTAAAAATTTAAAAGCAATGGACTTTCCTGGTAAAACAGTGAAATAATTGTTTAAATGAAATAATTTACAGAATCTCTACTTAATGAAATCATAGGTGCTTTAGTGGAAGCATTAATTTAATACCTCTTTCTGAAAACACTCAGAGAAATTTGAAAATAGTATCAAGTGTGTAAAACAGTGATAAAAGTGTTGTTAAAACCATGAAAATAAATGAGGCATGATTATACCCACATGTTCCACATGTTATGCCAGTACTCAGAGGAGGCTGAGGTTCAGTCTAGGCTACATCAAGTGAAATGAAAATGGTTGATAATTGCCTTAACTTTGGGGAGGGATGTCAAAAAAGTATAAGGATTTACAAATACAGAAACCCTGACTGACCCTGAGAACAGTTTCAATAAAAAAAGAGATGGGTGGGGCGACTGAGCATATCAGAGGCCCTAAGTTCCATACCTAGTGTGGACTCCCCCAAAAGTAGATGATGATGATGATGGGCTCCCCCAGAAGTAAATGATGATGATGGTGATGATGGGAAAGACTAAGAATTTTTTACCTGTGTTTACTGAGAGCTAAAGATCTAGGTAAGAGAGGATTCTTAATACTGCTTTTTCTCTGACAGCGCAAGACAAGTGAGACCAGAGAACCAGGAAAGCATTAGCTGAATGAGAGAAGGAAGATTGGCTCGAGTGAGAGTTATCTTCCTGTCTGTTAATCAGGAAGGGACAGTGGGAGTGAGATGCAGGTTATTTTGAAGGCAGAGGCAGGATGTTGAGGAAATTAATATATTATGGTCTCTATGTCTTTGTGAACTAGGAAGCAAAGCCAACCCTAAGCAGAAATTGTATACAACTAATTTAAATATTCATGGACCTTGGTTTAGGACAGTCTACCCAAGGCATCTACTTGGGTTTTGGTTTTGATTTGGTATTTTGGAGACAGGGTTCATGTATCCCAAGCTACCTTTGAACTTCTGATCCTCCTGCCTCTGCCTCCCAGGTGTTGGGATTACAGGTGTCACCACCATGTACTAGTGCATCTGCTTTCTTAGTTCCTAGCGCACTGGAAGAACACTAAGGAAGAAATGGAGTGTTGTGGGAGGTCCTTAATACCACTCTGGAAAGTCACTAGCATGCAAAATTTGAGATTAAACATTGCTTTCTAGCCAGGCGTGGTGGCACACACCTTTAATCTCAGCACTCATGAGGCAGAGGCAAGCAGATCTCTGCAAGTTCAAGGCCAACCTGGTCTGCAAAGCCAATTCCAGGCCAGCTGGGGCTACAGGTGTCTCAAAAAAAGACCCCCTCCCAAAAAATTACTTTCTGAAAAAAGATTTAAGAAAAAGAGAAAAATTATTTTCTAGAAAGTGATGAATATTTTATTATTTTCATTTTATGTGTACGAGTGCATTGTCTGCTTGTATGGGTCCTCTGCAAGAGTAACCAGTGCTCTTAATAGATGAGCCATCTCTCCAGCCCCTATAACAAATATTTTAAGTCTATGTGATCTTCCATCATCTTAAGGATACAATTCTTTTTTTTCTATTTTTTTTATTTTTAAATTTTTTGGTCTTTTTGAAACAGGGTCTCCCTGTAGCCCCAGCTATCCTGGAACTCACTATGTAATTTTTTGAGGCATCTCATAAAATTGGCTGTACATTTTTAGATTTACAGTTCAATTATTACAGTTATATAATATTGTACTCAGTATAAACCCTATAAGACATAAAATAATAAGGTTTTAACCTTTAAAAAGATCTCCATTTCATTATTAAAATAAACTCTTTCATACAGAAAAACTCATTTTTAATGCAACAAAACTTGCATATTTGCACATGCATTTCTAATCTCTATGTATCAGATTATTACTGGTCACAGTCGGTTTCCTTCTGAGATCCTTGGCACCTGATCATGGATATAAAGTCATCAGGTAGATTTCAATGGTAATGTTTTTCACATCTACTAATTAACATGAAGCA